AAAAAAGAGGCGATGAGAAATAGTTTCCCAAATAAATTACCTAAAAGTAAACATTGAATATCTTAAAAAAATATTATGACCCTATGAAACTAATATATGTTTTTCGTATTTATTTCAAATATAAAATTATTCAATAAACAAATTACTTTGAGTAAATTTAATTAACAAATTCGGCATTACTTTATTTAAATAGAAATTGTACTTAATAAAATTCCAAGAAATCTTTACCGCCACGAGCATAAAGCATTTCCATTTCCATTTCTCCCAGCTAAATTGAATCGCATTCATTGCGATTCATCCGACTTTTGCTCGAGTCGATCTCCCCAAATTAATTTCGCAGTCAATCACTTGCTTCATCTACATTTTCAAGGAGCTGCTGGCACGCCCTCGACTTTTGATTTGAATTCGGGCTATTTATGTGCGGTTTGATGTTCTACGACACACCCAAATACCCAAATACGTTTTCACCCAATCTTCAATCGATGGACGCCGCCGGCGAATCTCCGTCGTCATCTCTCCATCTCTCCACTGTCTTCTCACCGCTTCTCTCCAGCTTCTCCACCGGCTTCTCCACCGGCTTCTCCAGCTTGGAAAGCAATTTATATTGCGCTAATCACGTGAAATAGATCAAATTTCTTTTGTCGGCTCGTCGCCCGAGAGTGGAACTTTTTAGGGGGTGCAAACGGTACGGGACGACAACGCTGACAAGAGAGTGTTTCCACTTCGGATCCAAAAGATTCGGAATTGGCGCTTCGAGGAGCTCCAAGTGAGTTTCACTTGTTGTGGCAAAAGTGTTGCCAAGTTGCTCGAGAGCCCGTCAGCCAAGTAGGATAACAATCGGGGGCATTTACGTGGCGAAATTCGGAAAGAGCCACTCAGAAATAAGGTTTTCTTTTTGCAAAAAAAAGAGGAAAACTGGGGAAAATAAAACACAGAAAAGTGTAGTGCTAAAAAAAAAAAACAAGTGCCTCATAACAATATACAAAACAGATTAGATATCTAAATGATTTTAAAGAAAATGATTTTGTATAAAAGAGATTAGGTTGCAACACCAAATCAATACATTTCAAAAATTATAATTAATTCACCTTGTCTCCTAACATGAACTTAAACCTCTGTAATTTAAAGAAGAGAAATTCACTGGGTGAAAATCACTCGAACAGTAATTGAATTTGAGGCACGAGATACATTTGGATTTAAGGAGCTGCAAATTGGGAGAAGAAAAAAAAACAAAAGCAGAGCTGGGAGAAATTCACTTTCCGCTCGGTAATTGAAAGTCTCGTTGACAAATTCGGAGCTCGGCTTAGAAGCTTAAGAGCCAGCCAGGTGAATTTCACTTGTCTGCTCAAAGATAAAAAAAAACAAGAAGGAAAGATCGAATCGAGTGGGCAGCCACATGGCTGGCAATGTTTTAATTTGTATCTTTCCATTTTCATTTCCATTTCCATTTCCATCGACTGACTCTGTGTCGCACTCTCACCGAGGCCTAATCTGCAGGTGGATAGATGGATGGATGGATGGTTGGGACGGGATGGGGATCGGGATCGCAATCGGAATGCTATGCTATAGTATGCTATAGTATATAGTATGGTGTGTGGTATGGGGGCTTCTCAACGGAGAGATGGCATAGTGATTGGTTTTGCCTCCGCTAATGATGATTACCCACTTTTACCACCGGCCACATATAAAAATCAAAAGCGGTTTAACGCGTTTCTCGACTCTCGGTCACTTTGTGCACTGCCTACAGGTACACTGCTAGAAATTGCTCAAATTTATACATTCTTGACAGTGGAAATGAAATAAATCATACAGTTAATTTGTATAAGTATTTTATTTGAATATTGCAAAGAAAATTGATACAGAACATAATACAAAATACAATCAAAACATAGTTAAAAAGTATTTCGAATTTGGGAATTTATAAATATAAATTCCGGTTAAAAATACATCAACTTTAAGATCCCTAATAACTATTGTTCAACACTTAGGTAGTTCGAAACCATTTATCAGCACTAATTTCCATTACCAACCACACAAAACTTCTCAAAATATTGTCTAGTTTTAAGTGGTTATTTTTTTCCAGTGCATGTCGCATACATATTTCGCCTCTGCACTTCTCGTCCGCCCCATTGCGATTCAATTAAAAGCGCTTAACCACCGCACAACCCGTTGTGTCGTCGCACCCAAAAGAAAGAAAGCCACTTGCTGCCATACAAATCAGTTAGTAGAGCTCGGGGCGTGGTTCCCACTCCAAAGCCAAAACCAAAACCAAAAGCAAAGCCAAGACCAACCGAAACTTCGGCTTCTTCCTTGGCCTTGGCCATATTTATCTCTTGATTTCTCCCAAAAAATATATAAATATTTGAGCAACCAGTTCCCAGCTGAATTTAATTGCAAATTATCATGTCTCGTATCATCGCATCATGTGTAATTTTTTCAGCTGCCTTTTTGCTTGTTTTTGTTTTTGTTTTTTTTGTCTTTAGTTTTCCATCGCCGAAGAAAAGTGAAATTCCATTTGACAATTGTTTTGAGTGCCTCTCTCTCTCCCATTTCATGTCAGCGGGTTAGCAGGGATTTGTCAGAAAAACATGAACAGAAAAAAATAAAACTAAATGGCTGGTGAAATCTTTGGCCAAAAAAACGTGCCGAAACTGCATTTATGGGCCCCTCAAATATGCCAGATCACAAGGTCATTAAATTGTTATCACGGCTTTTTTTCTCTTGGTGTTTTTACAATGTGTTAAGACCTGGCCTGTAAAGTCTTCACTTTTGTCACGAGTTCGCATTGGCATTTACTTTATTTTTGTATCTCGCCCAGCAATGCCGAAAATCCATCTTGAAAATACCTAAAGAGCCAAACGATACGAAAAAGGTCGTTTTTGAGCGTCCAATAAATTATGCCTCATCATTCTGTTAATGCGGCCCAAAAACCATTGTTTGACCAAATGCATTACAACAATTTTTATGGAGCAATTTCTTCAGTTAATTGAGGATACACTGATGGTTTTCGGTGGTTTAGAAGGAAATATAACGCACACCACACCTTGTTATAAGTTCATTTGGCGCAATAATGGAAAATCTACAGATGAAGATAAGAAGATACGAGGGTTAATTGGTAAAGGGGAAATAACTACAGAAGACTTTAGCCGCAAATGAAGTTATTACACGAATAAAATTGGGATTTCCTATACAAAATGAAGATAAAGCTAAATCTTAATAAAAATCTTAGAGAAAATGATAATTTATCTTTTTTAGATTCTAATGAAGCTATTGGCACACATATTTGTGCTTCTATAAAATAAATACCCCATCAACTTTGGACGCTTGTCTCGTAAATTGGCCGTTTTATCGCACTCCATCAGATTAGAACATGAATCAAATTAAACCGCCGGACCGCAAACAAGTTGACTTCACATTGTCAGTTCGTCCATTCATCAAACTCAATAAATCGGGCATAGGAAATATTCGAAAACAAAAAAAAATAAAAAAAAACTTGATTGAGAACTGGGCCAAAAACCGAATCGACACCTTGGCTAAATTTGAGCATTTCCGTTTTGAAAATGCGGATTTCACTCGCCTAGCCAAAAAGTCCAAGTTAAATGCCAAGTTTTTCATTTTTTTCGAGTCTTTTCCTTCTTTATTTCTTCGTTGTCTATTTTTCTTCTTCTTCTTTTTTTTGCAACCACAATCAATGTTGGCCAAATGGTGGTGGTGGCTGGAAAACTTGTAGAATGCACGACGGCTTTTCAAAAAGTGCTCAATGCTATATCAATAGCACCACAACCACACCGCCAAGCAACCAACCAACCAGTGGCAACAACAATAGCGTCTGTACACCTGTCTAAGCCAAAAAATAAAAAGAAGTTAGCGGCAGTGGCAGCAGCAGCAGCAGCAGCGGCAGCGACGTCGACGGCGGCAGCGGCGGTAACAAAACAGCAACACGTTGGCCAGGGCCGCGAAGTTGACGCTGCTGCGCCCAAAAACCCAACAACTTTTAATTTCAACACATTCCAGCACAAGACTCCACAATCAAGACACTTGCACAGTGGTATAAATTGCAATAGAACAGTGATCGATTTCGATCTCGGAGATAAGATAAGGGGTTAAATAGAGTAAGGCCATGGACCACTTTAAAGGCCGATGATCAAAAATTTTTATGTACAATTAAATCAAAAATGTATTTATAATAAAAAACATAAGAAACTTCTGTCATAAAAAAAAGTATTATATGGTTTTAAATTTTAGTATCACAAATATAGTAAAATATCAACAAATTCATGGTTTTTGGTTGAAAACATTATAATGTTTAAGCTGTGGCGCTTGCAAATTTTTTTTGTGATCACCTCAATTTTACCTCAGCTATAACAATTAAAAGATTACACAGCCCACTGTGCCTTATAAGGCAGTGGGTACTCCGTACATACGCGCGACTTGACTTTCTTTGCGGCCTAAGCCAAAAAACAAGTTCGGGCTCGGCTCCGTTCGGGCCAAGTTGGTGCAAGTTACACAGAAAAAAAAGCATAGTATTAAATAGAAAATATGTATTAATTCATAGAGCAGGTGCGATAATGGAACTCAAATGTTTGTTTAAGAGCCAGATAGAATTAAAAAATTATTAAAACTCTAAATTGTATTTATTAAATACAAATTTATAAAAGTGAATAATATGAAACAGTTGTACTTAAATTCGTGCTTTCGTAATTAAAATCAACCATAAATAAAAATCCACTTTATAGTTCTGTAAACCATCTTATTTAAACGAATGTTGAGTTTATGATTATTTTTGTTCTCCCATAAAATTACTATGCTGAAAAAGATGTATTAAATTTACTGGTTACTGGCTATTTTTTTTCAAACATGAACATTTTGTTGCAGTGTAGCGACTTTAGCGGGTTTCGAAGCGGCGGGATCGGCGGGATCGGAATCGGGGCGGGGGTTACGGCTCGGTCGAGAGCTGTGGGCTGCGAGAGGTTTTGGAGGCAGTCAGCCAAGTCAGTCGATTGCTGGCGGTCGAAGCGTTGAGACGTCTGTTCGCGGTTGAAAAAATCCAATAAGAACGCGACTGAAGCGAGCTCTTTTTGTTAACTTTTTTTTCCCAACCACTCATAGACACTGAGGTGTGTACTGGTGTGTGTTCTATTGTGCATTGGTGTGTGTGCTTATGTGTGTGCGGGCTGAGAGAAAGAAGACTCTCTTGGCCATTACCGTTAATCAAATAAGTTTTTTAGAAATTTAAACGCTCCACTTCGACGCAACTGTGTGTGTACGTGCGTACGTGTGTTTGTTTGTGTGTGTGAGAGAGCTTTAAACGGTTCATTGATCGAGTTCAGCTCAAAAATGGAGCAAAAGCGGAGAAAGAATAAATACCAAACGAAAAACAAAAAAAATAAAATAAAAACAACAACAAACAAAACAAACGAGCAAACAAATAGTGCAAGTGCCAAAGCCTCTGAGTGTGTGTGTATGTGTGTATGACTGTGTTACCAATTCGCATCGAGAAGGCAGCACAAAATGCGCTTAACCCATTTATAAAACGGGCAGAAATGAGCCAAGCCAAATACCAAACCAAACCGAACAAAACCACGCCGAACAACAAAAATGGCAATACAAATCCAATAATTGGCCAAAAAAGGCGAACAACAAAAGACAATTGTTGGCCAGCGGAAAAAAAAAGAACCGCAAGTTAACACCCAAAGAACTCTTAATTTGCATGCACGGAAACAAAATGGTTTTCGTGAGAAACTCTTTGAAAAACTCGGAAAATCAGTTAACAAGATTGGGAGTTTAATAAAGCATACAGATCTGAAGCTAAAAGCCATCTATGAAAATATCAACATGTTTTCTGTGTAGAAATTTACCACATTATGAATAAGCCCCTAGAAATCCATGTTTCTGAAAAGTTTAAGATACTTAACTTAACTCGTTTGTTTTTTCTTAAAACCAAACTTTATTTGTTGAATTTTATAAAAGATTAATTGTTACAATAGTTTCTAATGTTTATAGATCTGAAAGCCAACAAAACAACAGTTATATAGTCCACAAAAAACAGAATCTGTATTATTTTTAAACATTTAAAAACCTTTGCATACAAAATACATTACCGTTTAATCTAAACAATGTTAAATTAAATTTATTAAAGCTGTTAAAATGTAGTTCTCTATTCGCGGTATCAAATCTTTAAATCGTAACTTGTCTTGGGTATAAAAAATTAAGCACAATGCGCCGAGACGTGAAACTTGTGTTATTATGGACAGATGATTCTACAGATCGCCCAGATATACCATATACCATATACACAAGCCGACAGACAGACAAACAGACAGACACAATCCGGCATAACAAAAGATCTCTTTGCAAATTGTTTATTTGCTGCTTGGCTGATCAGCAAACGGATTGTTTATGCTAATATCTTCAACTGCTGTACGAACATGGCTCTTTCATCACATTCGCGTAAAATGGAAGTCTATTTGGGGTTTTTTCTTGCGGCTCCAAGGGAGTTCCTATCTCCGAACTGGTTTACAGAATATTTAATTAGATTTTCAGCTACGAAGTTCTGCGGGGAAATCCAGAATAAATTTGCCATGGTTTTGGATACCGAAAATATAAATATTAATCCCTCAGATAAAAATACATCTATCTTCATTTATAAGCAGTTTCGCATAAAATATTTCCAGAATTCATTAAAAATTCCAATTTACACCTTAAAAATGCAGACATCATGTGTTTTCTTGCGTAAATAAAACAAACCTCCAGTTCAGTGGGCCATCAATCAAAGTTCTCACATAGGAAATGGTTTTAAAACAAGTTTGGACCGCAAGAAATGCGCAGATAATTGCACAAAACCACAATATATCCATGACTTAATACCTATACTTCCTGACATATACTCCAATTTATTGCCAATCGAAACGAATTGACAATTGTTGACTTCCATAAGTAATTCTCTTTGTGGATAATATCCGCTTTAAGCCAACAAAAAAATAGCTCGAAATTTAACATTTTAATTTATTGTAATTCAAGCCAAGCGAACATCACGTACTGCTAAATTTCTTTATAGAGCTTCTGCCATTTTAATCGCATTTCTAGAGGCCAGCTGTGTTTTTCACAATCTCTCAGGTGTTAATTGTTTTTTTTTTTTTTTTGCTATTATCATGCATTTTGGAATATTTAATATATTTAGATCAGTTTTGAGGTTAATAATATCGTTTGTGGGCAGTCAGTTTTATAATATATATATGTGCTTCTCGGTGACTTTTGGATCGTATGTAAATTTTTTAAGCACACAATAAAAAACCACCTCCTCTGCGGTTTTTATTTGCCTTGTTGTTGAGCTGAATGCATAACTGAAAAAACAAGATTCTTTTGGCCTACACGTCGGCCAACAACAAGTCCCACAAAATCATCGATTATAAAAGTTATTAGGGGAGAATCTCATACGCAGCTCATACACAGGAAATATTTTTGATTAGTTTTAAAGAATATTATATTTTGCATTATAATTCAATACCTAACATTGAGCAATTACTAATTGTTTGTAATATAGGTAAGGATATTTAAATTGATTCTTAAATATGAAATTATATGTTTCTGAATATATAGGGAGGCATATTTTTTCTCTGTACATTTAAATGACATCAACATCCAACATCCAACACCTGTGTGACGGGTTAATACCGTTCGCTGGTTTGGCCGGTTCGATTTTGGTCGGTTTTTTTTTTATTTTGGCCCCAGTTTTGATGTTCCTCCGCGGATCGTTTTCTTGTTTTCTCGTTTTCTCACAGAATTATGACACATGACGAGATTGCATTTGAATCCATCTGGTTTGCCGTTACCCGTATTCACTGTACTATCTAAAAAAAAAAAAAAGAAACAGTTGCCCCACCAATCGATTTGCATTCCAGTTTTTGTTCAGTCGTTTTTCGATCAAATTAAAATTCCCCGGTTGAAACGTTTCCTCTTTGACATTAAGATCTGATTTGTAGTGTCATTAATCATACTCGACTACCGATATATAGCTTCGTACGTGGGCCGCCAGACAGACACTCTTCTCTAATGGGATTATGTTTTTGGGGAGTCTTCCATAAACACTTAAGTCTTCCGATTTGGGATGGGTTCTTTGGGGGAAATTAACGGTTGGTTCTGTTAGAAATCGTTAAGAATTAAATACTATTACGTAGTTTATTTTTTGTTCATTTAAGACTGTATGAATTTACAAATTTTAAGCACCATTTTTTGTAATCAATAACCACTTTAAAAGTAAAGTTTTTTATTACTACATATAGCTTCACAGATGAACTATTTAAAACTGTTTGTTTGTTTGTATAATAGTCTTTAAAGCAAATTATCAGTATTTGCTTAATTACTTAACCTTTCAACGCTTTATGCAATCATTCATTAGGAATTCCTTTGTAAACAAACTGCCAAACATGTTTTTTAATTAGAAATTTCAACTGCCATTCGGGTTCATAAAACCATAAAATCTTAATCAGATTTTCAGGCTTATGTAAATTATTTGATTTCGATAAGTGAATTGTAATTAATATTTACTTGCCTTGACTTCGTTTTTAATTATACAGAAAACATGTTATTACCTTAGAACTCGCTAATTTATGAGGCTAAGTTGTAATTAAATTGAGGGTTTTATGAACAATTTTATGGATCTGTCATAATTTATTTAAATTTGTTTGTACTTGCCACACTTCTGAATAATCCCCATCTTTTTCCAGCTTCTCTAAATGCCAGTTTGCATTTGCACCCAATCATCGACAAGAAAACTGATTTGGAATAGCTGCCGCATTTTCTTCGAGTGTGCCTGAGTTGCACATTCCGTCCTGAAGATGGCGCTGCGCCTGCGTCGCGACGTGCAGAAGGCCTCCTATTATGTGTGGTTCCTGGGCGCCGAGGAGGCGAAGGGGCTGCGTGGTGCCCGCGTCATCAACTCGGTCCTGCCTTATTTGGTGGACAGGTCCCGCGGCCAGGAGCCGCTCAAGGTCACGCTCCAGGTGTCCCACAAGGGCATCAAGATCGTCCAGGTGAGCGGATCGTTCTATGAAAGAAAAACACTTGATTTATTGCAACAATTCAAGGGAATTCCCGGGGATTGCAAATATATCAGAAAGCTTTATATGAGAATTATTTAAAACAGTACAACTACTATTAAAAAGTATCTTTCAGATAAAAACTGAATCTATTTTTCTGTATTTTAAAATTTATTAACTTAATTGTTCTAGTTTTTAAGATGTTCTTGTTTTGATTTTATTTACTTTTTACTTGTTCAAATGTTAACAATTATATTATTATTTTTATTATATCAGAAAACTTATATGTCAATTATTTAAAATTGTATTATTTTAAAATTTATTAACTTAATTTTTATAGTTTTAAAGATGAGTTCATATTTTTGTTTTGATTTTATTTACTTTTTAGTTGTTTAAATGTTAACTATCCAATTGATATTTAAAAGTAGCTTCCAGATAAAATCTGGTTTTACATATATATTCAAAAATTACTTTTAAATACTAATACCTTTTTTAAAATAAATTCTTTAGGGGGCCTCGAAGCACCTGATTCCACACAGTGCCATAACCAGCTCCGTGCAGACAGATGACATCGTCGCCTGCGTGCTGCTCCTCTACAATCCGGCCACCAAGTGTCCGCTCCACGTCCACGCCTACCGATGCGATTCGGAGACGACGGCGGAGGCACTGCACCTCCAGCTGCAGATCCTCATCAACCGCCCGGACAACCAGAAGCGTTTCGAGGAGCTGGAGACCAGGTGGGTCCTCCATTTGATCACCCTTGAATAGCACATACATTTTTTGCCATTTTGAAAAGGGTGGGAGTCATAAAAAACCACAAAAATAGTTATTTTAATAACAAATTCAACAAGGTATACTACTCATAAATCTGATAAAAATTAGCAAAGTTGTGGCTTAAGAAGTGATTGAATTTTTACACTTTTCTGAAAATCCACCAAAAAATAGAAAATAATCTAATGATGCAGCTGGTTACATATTTAAATAATAAATTCAAAGAGGTATGCCACTTTTAAATCGGATCAAAACTATGTTATGGGATTTGAATCTATATCTCTTTGAAATCGATATTCAGGAAAACATATAGTTGAGACTTTTCGCTTAGCTGGGGTTATCGCACACCGTATTATATTTTTATGGTAATTGGCTGTGCGCAGCTGTAGTTACTTGCCAGCCAGTTGCAACTGCTGGGGACTTTTGTTATGCAAGGCTTAATTAATTTCGCCGCCAGCTTCGGGATGAAGCAGGAAGCAGTGGCAGCAGTGGCAGCAGTGGCAGCTTGGCCACTTAGTCACTCCATTAGACACACTCACCCAAACACATGACGATCGTGATAATCGACCTGATGGGGGATTGCGATGGGGATTGGGATGGAAATTGGGATGGGGATTGGGATGGAAATTGGGATGGGGATTGGATAGAGATGCAGATGATGATAATGATGATGATGGCGATGATAATGGGGAACCTGGACTCCCAGCGAGATCCCAGTGCCCCGGTAATTGCAATGGCAATCTCCACTGTCTGCCGCATTCCCACGAAGACAGCCACAGCGATTCTGGCATCGCCCACGCTGCACCCACATCCACATCTATAAATTCACATTCCCATCCACTTCCACGTTCACATCCAACACATTAGCGTCCAAGTCCATGACTTTAAATATCTTAAATGCCACTTGAAGTTCGCTCGATGGCTTCGCGGAAATTCTGTTTCAAAGTTGCCGCCCAGCCAGGCTGTCACCATCGATAAATGTTGAAAAATGTTCGCTGGTCGAGAGGGGAAAAATATGCAGAATTCTGGTAGCTAACGGTGCGAGCACTTGAACTTGAGTGGCGAGCTGTGATTAATCACATTTGAGGTGCTTTTATGGGGCAAACAAAAAAATGTAGATAAAATTATGAAAATATTTCGAAAAGTTTAATGGAAAATAAAAAGGGAAATACCAAAAACCATTTAAATTTCTTTCTTATTATTATTCTTAGCCTAAATGGAACTCACTCATCACTAATTTATTTTAAAAATTATTTAGTTTTAGTTTTGTTATTATACTTTTGTATTGTTATAATTACTTATAATTATTTAAAGTTTATATGTACTCACTCACTCCTAAATGATTTTCCGAATTTTATAATTATCTTATTAAATTTAAATACTCACTCTTATTTTATTTTATTTCCAGACTGGGAATTTTGCCACCAATCCCCATGAACGGCGGCAGCGAGAAGCGCCACGAGTCGAATGGGAAGGCCTCGTCGGCGGGCGGTGGTCCTGGATCGCACCACCACCAGCTGCAGTCCCAATCGTCGGGCGGCTATCAAGGTCGTCGGCACGAGACGTCGTCGCCCAAACGATTCAGCAGCTCGTTGGGCAGCGATACGGGCAACAGCACCCGGGAATCGGAGTGCAGCGAGGAGCACGGCCTGGCCGGTGGAAACTCTCCGGTTTCCCGATCGCCGCCGCACGGGAAACAGCAACAGCAGCCACACAACCACAACCACCCCCACCCCCATCCACACCCACATCCGCCGCTGCACCACCCACCGCTGACCCCCCAGCAGAATAGCGACCTCTTCGATTCATTGGCCGCCGAACTGCGAGCCAAACTGAATGGCAATGGGCCACCGTTGCTGCTGCCTCCCCGGGATTACGATACAGTGCATCGATCGAAGGGCAATTTAACCGCCATCGAGTTGAGGCGCTGCCGCAACGCCCTCATTGTGGGCGGGGCGCCCAAGGGGCAGGTGCAGGGAGCCGCCAGCGGAGCCGTCGGAGCAGCCGCCAATGCCAACGGGAAGCAGGTCTCCTCGCGGGGATCCTCCGGCATCGGATCCGATCTGGCGCCCAGTCCCGAAAGACAGGAACTCAACAGCTCCAGCGGTAAGAAGATCCTTATTTCTTATAGGGAAATAACCAAAATAATGTGGAGAAAGTGAAGAAAATATTATAAATCATTTAGAAGTTATATATAAAAATTTAAAAAATAATTAATTTGATATTCATAAACCCTTATCTTGTTTATAAATTGTACTAAAATATATAAATAAATATCAAATCATTGTTGTATAATGGTAGGGAAAATAAAAAGCAATTAGAAAATAATTCGATTCATTATGGGAATTTTTCTTATTCAAGAATATTTGGAGTGTTAGAAATCAATAAATTGTTTTTTTTTTTTTTTTTTTTTTTTAAGCAAATATTTCAATGCAGAACTGAAAATTTAAATAAATTCCAATAAGCTTAAGTTTATTATAGATATTTTAGGATTAGATTAGAATTTGTACTAAAATATAAATACATATCGACGAAGGTCGAATGTATTGTTGTATAATGGTAGGAAAACTAAAAATCAATTAGAAAAGAATTCGATTCATTATGGAAATTTTTCTTATTTCCTATTTAGGATTATTTATTTATTTAGGATTAGATGATTTCTATTTCTATGCATGATAGAAATTTTTTCCTATTGATTGTTGATTGAATATTGAAATCACTAATTTGAAACTCCTTTCCAGATGATGAGCACTGGTCGAACGAGGCGGACAACTCGGTGATCGCGCTGAAGCCGTCGCAGATTGCGATTCCGCACCACGGACAGTTGAAGAGGAAGAGCGCCGTCCAGCCGCCGGAGGATAGTTACCTTCGGGATCTGCCAGCGAAGCCCTATCAGCCGCGTCCCAGCGAACGGGAACGGGAACGGGAACGGGAACTGGAGCGGGAAAGGGAGAGGGAAAGGGATCGAGAACGTGAGCGGGACAGAGAACGCGAACGGGAACGGGATCGAGACCGCGAAAGAGACCGCGAGCGGACCAAAACTCCAGCTTCCATTTCAAATAAATCCTGGAGTCGCGAGGACGAGATCAAACCGATAATAATGCGTCCAGCTGACTACGATGCCAAGTTCAATCGGGTGATGCAACAGGAGCAGCAGCAACAACAACAGCAACAGCAGCAGCAGGAGCAACAACAAAAACAGCATTCCGGACAATCCTCCGGAAATCATCAGCCAGCAAAACTGAGGGACACCGACAAATACAACGAGATCAATCGGCTGCTGAACAAGAAGCTCTCCCACGAAAGGGAGCGAAAGCCGCGCTCCCGACTGGAGGACAACCACGATGACTTCGAGGACTCGGATCCGGGCAGTGAGCCACTGGGGCATCCGCACCAGCCACCGGGTGTGGCGCCATCGCTGCACCATCACCATCGCAAGGAGAACCTCACCGACAAGCAGAAGTTCATGGAGTACACCAGCAAGAAGCAGCAGCTGCTCAAGAATTACGCTGGCGAGGATCAGCGCTATCGCCATCGCTACGTGGAGCCCACAGACCTACCATTCGAATCCGCCGGGATACCAACCACCACCGGTGGTGCGGCGGGTCACAACAAATACGCCGCCGTTCACCGGGGAACGGATTTGGGTCAGAGGACAACGGAGCGACGACACGAAAGGGATCGTGGCGATAGGGAGATGGAACGGGAACGGAGAAGGGATCACGAACTGGATCACTCGCGGGATCGCAATCCCTACAGGGAGGCGGAGAGTCTGCCGTACATCCAGAGCATGGAGAAGATGATGAAGTCCACGGGCATGCGGTATGCAGAAGGTAATCCCAAGTCCCGGGAAAGGGAGCGGGAAAGGGAGCGCGACTTCCGGGAGCCACCGATCATCCAGCAGAGCTCCCAGCGCGACCGATTCCACGATGCCAAGGACAAGTTCCGGGCAATGGAACAGCGACCGGCGGTCAATCGCTATCCGGATTTGGATGAACGCGATGCTCCGATCCGGGATCCATATCGATCCTCGTCGAGAAGGCGACGCGGTTCCGTGGAGCCGCCGAGCACCTACGAGCAGTGGAGCGAGGAGGAAGAGCCACCGGTGGTGGTGGTCAGCGAGAAGCCATCTTCAAGGGAGCTAAATCGATCCAGGGCCAGATCCCGCGGCGAATGGGAGCCGGAACCAACGCAACCGCCCAGACATTTGGAGCGCGGAGTGAGGGATAGAGAACGGGAGAGGGATCGCGATTACAATAGGGAGCAGTCAAGGGATCCCTATCGCCACGAGAGGGAAAGGGAAAGGGATAGAGAGAGGGAAAGGGAAAGGGAGAGGGAAAGGGAGAGAGAGAGGGAAAGGGAGAGGGAGAGACCCGTGGACAGACGTGCCCATTCCCGAGAATATCTACAAAGTGTGGAAACCAAGAATCCCTCGACAACTGGTTCCAATCGCGGCCACTTGGAGCGCTATCCCTCGCCCGCTGCCACGCCCAGCAGATCCGGTGAAGTGGGCGGCGGCGGCGGAGGAGGAGGAGGTGGTGGTGGTTCCTCCAGCGGAAACTCCGGAAAGCCTTTGGGCCAAATGCCAAAAGGTTATAGACACAGTTACGCAGAACCCGTTTTCGCAAGATCCGGCGGAAGAGTCGGCTTGGCCGCAGTGAATCCCTACTAAATGGGATTCCCCTGGAGGATTCTTATAAAGGAGTGCTTTTATGAGGAGCACCCCTGACCAAAAGTAAAAACCGTGCAACGAAATCCAAACTAATCGAATGGGAGGAAAACTCGCGAGTGTCGCAACTATTTCTGGGAATATTGAAAAACGTTTTTTTTAATTTAGAAAATCATATAAAACTATTGTTATCCTTTTATTTTATATTTAATTTTCAAAATGTGTTATTTCGGCAAATTTGAAACCTTTTTATTTAAAGTTTTTACACAACTTTTTATTTATATAGTTGAACATTCCACTTTTTTTCTTGAACAACGAAATATTATTTGTTAACGAAAATTTTAGAGTGCTAAAAATGTAAAAAAAATCTATTTTATTTTCCTGTATCTATAACAAATTAAGTAATTTTTGCGACACTCAGTTCAAAAAAAAGAAAATAACAACCTTGTAAACATTTAGATTAAGAAAGAACAACAGTGGCACCTGCTTATGACGCCCAGAAAAGTCATTGTAAGCACTTTGCTATGCATCCCGTATAACCCGAATATACTCAATTGCTATAGCAAAGTTAGCCCTCTAATGCGAGATATACTCATATATATATATCCAACCATTCCTGCCCCGATTTAACATAACGCGCCTTAAATGGGGGCCGTTGGGGATCCGAGATCGGAGCGAAATTAAAAGGCGCCAGCCCCTGTAATTATGTGCCTTCAGAGAGAGAAATCGTGTTTTTATTATATGCATAATACTGACTTAGCCTACGATTATATTTGTATATGAATCTAATCTAATGTTATCAAAAAGCCAACGAAACAAGAATCGGTTCGGATTTCTTACCACTTTTTTTTTTGTTTTTTTGCTACCTTAAGTTGCGCGGTTGATTGGTGTTTCACCTTTTTTTTTGCGATGCAGTTCACATATGTCATGATATCTGATATCTGTAAGCATATAATATAGATAAATATATACTATACATAAACATATACATAGCTGATGTATCTATTGTTATCAACTTGATATTGGCATTAATAAAGCGATAGTGAAAAATACATATTATTTTGGTTTTGATTTTGGGAAGGAAAAAGTTCCCTGACTTTTATAATGGGATTGTTTGGAATTATAAAAATGAATTCGAAAACATTTTAAATTCGAATGACCTCAACATATTCATTTATTCATTTACTTATTCAACACAAAATGTATAAAAGATACGTTACATTTTGACATTTAATGTTTTGTATGTAAAATATATCAATGAATAACGAAAAATCCAGGGTTACCACCATTTCAAAAAATACGTCAAATAGAAAAACGTCAAAAGTAAACCGAGACTCTAAGCCGAGCTTCCCAACAAATTCTACATGTTTATTAAACGTCGAAAGCTTTCTATCAAGACACTGAAAAAAATTATGTAGACAGAAAAAGCTTTTCAATGGAAACAGTTAAGACAATGTTGTTTTTTTGTTTTACATTTTTATTGTTTAATTTAAAAACTTTTTGTTTGGTTTTTTCACAATAGTTTTTGTTGTTTGTTTTCTCATTTTTTTAAGAATCTTTTTTCTTTCAAAACAAAAATAGATTAAAGAAAAATATTTTATATAATATATTTTTTCTCTTTTTGTTTGTTGCTCTCTCTCAAGTTAATTTAAGAAACAATTAATCAAGTTCTTATTTAATTATACAAATTTAAAAAAAAATAGTAATTATATAATAATAAAAATAATAAGTATAACGGGGGAAAAATGCAAATAGTTGTTTTGTAGTTTTGTTGTAGTTGCTGAATTTGTTGTTGTTGTTGTTGTTGTTTCTTTCAATATCTATTACTATTCGTTCCGTTTTCTCTATGAATCAATCCATTGGGAAAAGGAGAAATGTGTGTAGGTATATATATATATATATTTTCTATTGTTTCTGGTTAGGAAGGATAGCTTGATCCTTTCGTTTGCTGATTGTCCTTATTTGTCGGGGTTAAACACTTTATATATATAGGTATATATATTCATATTGATGAGTGTGTCTGGCTGAACTTTCTTGATTCTTCTATACAAGCTCCGAGACAAAAAAGCGGCGGTCAAACAAAATGTGGTATCCATTCCAACTTGTGGATCTCTCTCTTCAATTCACTTAGGAGGCAGGAAGTTCTTGTGGGTGGAAAAGGGACGTCGCTGGGGGGATAGTAGCAATAGGCTTTACCAGCGACCGGAATTATATTTGTTGCTTCATCATCTTCATCTTTCATCATCATCATCATTATCTTTATCATTGTTATTATCTTCTTCTTCTCTTGCTGTAGTTATATCTTTTTCTTTTCTTCTTCTTTTTTTCTCTCTTTCTCGCGCTCTATATAGCTCTCGCTCTGTCGATCTGGCCGTCAGCGTGGCGATAGCTTTACATGTTCTCGAACTGATCGACACGACGCTTTGTGTTGCCCTTGCGGATCTCGCGAAGCGTCTTGTACTTGTCGCGTCCCTGGCGAACGTTCTCGCGATGGATCTTGTCGTTTGCCGTCTCTTTCGTCTCGTCGCGCGACTGCGCCAGATCCTGTTTCAGAGCCTGAAAAAAAGGATATAAAAAATAGCATCAGTATTCTATAAAACAATCATACAAACAAATCTTCAAACAGCAAAAAAAATAAGACCATACGAAAACTTGAAATTATTAGAGATCATTAACTGATAGAGGTATGCTGCTTCAAATTCGGATTGAATTTGACAGACTTATGGCTTTCGGAAGTTTAGGTTTGGGTCACCTTTTCATAAACCGTCGCATACTTAAGAATTTTTGAGAATTTGAATGCTGTTTGTACATTCATGAAATTACAAACGTTAAGAGGGATACACTTTTAAATCTGATTAAATTTCACGGATTTATAGTTTCAAAAGTTCAATTTTCGGTCACCTTTTTGTAGTAAGTATGATTACAAAAGTTTAAAAAAACCTACCTTGAGCTGATCGTGCAAGCGCTCGTTGCGCTCGGCCAGCGTGCGTCTGTCCTCGATGGGGTCCTTGATATGCTCGTCGGTGTCCAGATCGCGCGACACATCGCCGCCGGCGTCGCCGTTCGTCAGCTCCTCCTCGTTCTCGTTCTCATCCTCGGCAACGTGGTGATGCTGCGGCGTTGTCGACGCGGCCAACAGAGCGGCGGCGGCTTCGGCCTGCAAATGGTAAAGCTTTCAGTATAACATTCAATTCGAAATTAAGCCAGACTATGTTTGATTAATTCATACAAAAAAGCTAAGAAGATAGATTAAAAATTATACCACAATGACCTGCTTGCGTCGGGCATCCTCGACCTCGTCCTGCAGACGCTTGGTCTCCTCGTCCTTGGCATTGACCTCGTCCTGGATGCGCTGCACCTCCAGCTGCTTGGCCATGATCTCCTCCTCGAGCTTAAGCTTCTCGACGGCCTCCATGTTCTTGGCCTCCTCGAGGCGCTGCAGCATCGACTGCAGTTCCTTCTGGCGCAGCTCGAGCTCATCCTTGGCGGCCTGCAGCTGCTTCAGTTGCTCCTCCAGCCGACGGATCATGTCCTGGGCCTCGAGCAGATCGCGCTGCGAGCGCTCCATATCCTCCTGCATCTGCTTCAATCGATCCTCGTACTCCTGCTGCTTCTTTTCAGCGCGTTCGCGAGCGGCCAGCGCCAGCTGCAGTTTCTCACTGAAAAAATTTACAATTTAATGCAATTTTTAGAGGGTAAAGATCAAGATAGATAGATTGTATTGTATTGTATTTACCGCTCCTGCTGTTTGGCATTCTTCTCCTCACGCGCCTGCGCCTTCATCTGCTGCACATCGATGGTGTCCGGCTTGCGGCGACGCATGTACAGCTCATGGTTGCCCATGCAGAGGGCCAGAATACGCTTGTTGATGCGAACGCGCGGCGCGAAGAACATAAAGTCCGGTGCCTTCTTGTCGATCGGCTTGATGATGAACTTCTTCTCGGAGAAGGAGATGTTGCGGATCTCCGACCAGGGGAAACCGATCTTGGGCGTCAGTCGATCGTCCTGCTCGTAAATGTTCAGGCCGAGAGCATCGACGCCCAGCCAAAGATCCGTGCCCTTCTTGTTGCGGATCTCAAAGTAATTGACGCCGTACATTTCGAGATCCTGGGCGATCTTCAGATACTCCATCATGGCGTCCTCGCGCAGCATGCTGCGATGCTCCTGCCACCAGGTCATGATCGACTGCTCCCACTCGTCCTTGGACATCTTGTGCTGGTCGATGACGCGCTGCGGCAGCAGGCGATCGTTGGCCAGGAAACCGGCTGTGTGGGTGGTCTTGTTGTGATCGCCATGCCGAGCCTGAACGGCATAGGAGGCGAGCAGCACGGATGTCTCCGGCGGACAGTAGATCTCGTCGGTCAGTATGGCATTCTTCACCTGCAGGTAGAACAGGCGCAGGGTAATGTCCTGGATCAGCTCCTCGGCCACGTCCTCCGGATAGAATTTGGCACGGAATCTGAACTGCAAGGGGTTCTCCTTCTTCACGTCCTGGTTCATCACCTGTCGAAAGGGGGAACATAAATGTTATTAGTTGTTTTATCTTGGAGAAGTAAACAAAAATGCTGTTGATAATCAAGATTAATATATTCTATGAAATCTAATGAACAGAATTAAACGGAATTGAAAATTATTAACAAAAAATACATAAAATATTTAAAATATAATCTAGATTGTCTCAGATTTCTAAATGCAACTAAACAACTGAGTTTCTTGAAAGTTAACATATATACAAATAATAATCATAATTATAGGTATTTGAAAAGTGCTTTTGGCTGAAGTGTTACCCATGTCGAAAACGGCATTGATCCAGTCTATTTGTTGTGGTGCAGCATTAAATTATACACAGAGATTGCATTAGTGGGATAAGATCTCTCCGACTTACTAATTAAATTAATTAATAAAGGCAAGCTAAATATGGCAATGGCTATTTTACAGGGCAATTGGTAATTAGGGGCTGGCTATATCAAACTAGCGTGGATCTCTCTTTTTGCACCTAATGGATACTTTTATCGGGGACTTTTATCGGGGACTTGGCTTTCGGGAATAAGCTTGAGATACAATTTATATATATTCTCAATCCGTTCCCACCATATCATCGGCATCGTCGTCCTCTTCGCTGGTTTCCGCCTGATTTACTCCATTGTTGTCGGCTGTCTTTTTGTCCACATACTTCTTCACACGCTTTAAATATTTTATGGTCTTTATGGCCGGCGATTCTGGCTATTATTATATTTTATATATCATTATATATTTTTTAAAATTTGCCATATGCAGCATTGCATTCAAAATAGGATTTTACTTTATTACTATTTTAATTTCAACCCCACCACTT